TACTAATAATCTTATTGTACGTTATTCTGCCTTGTAATATGGCTCGGAATTTCATGGTACCACGTGAGTGCATCTCTTTCGATGGCAGTCTTACTTTCGGTTTATCCAGACAAACGAAACTTCCAAAAGTAGCAGGTTTCCAACAGTTACGGGTACTTCCCGGTAGTCTGAAGTATTGCCTCTTAAGTTCGTCTGTTCCATCTCACTATCAAAACGCTTTTGCAGACACCGAGTATGCCGCGGCTAATGTTTTTACATGAATGACTCGAAATATCCTGCGAAATAAAGATACAAAATGACAGAAACGACAGACGACTGCTAAATTCACGGAAAATTCATTAGGTTCCGGAAAAATCAACATTTCGGATTCATGTAGGACCCAACCTATGTGTCCACTCGTGACGTGCTTACATTTCAGATATACTTAAATAAAGAGCGGAGCCTCCAGGGTTCGAATAAGCACAGGTTAAACCATATAATTATAAGAATTCGTTTCACGAACAGACATGCTGTTTCAATAAGGGAACACCTTGATCACTCTTCGAGAACCACTGCACTGTGAGGACCTCCGTACACCAATTTTTTTTTCACGTATAGAATTAGATGACAGCCTAGTTGGGGTGTGGAGTACTTTCCGATAGATCTGTAATTGTAACTGTAGCTTTCACTCATTGATGCTCATTTGGCTGCTCCCGGATCCATGGTGTACGGAGACGATGCGATTTATTGTACCGCAACATCAAACTTCTAAAGAATAATTAGTGTCCCGTCCGAGTGGACTTTATAAAGAAGTTTACCGACAGAGGACATGTGTTTTGCAGGCCGAGCAGCACATCAAACAAACCGAATGTTTACAGGACGCTACTGATTATTTTGTGAGCCGTGCGTGTTTGACGATGACGTGCATAAGGTGTAAACTGTCATCAGTCTGCCGCTTACAGATTTACAAACAGCCACTGATTGGCTGGAGGAAATCTAAGAAACAGATCGGAATCACACTATGTGTTGGTGTTTTTCTGAAGGAAAGAGCTTCATTATTCCTTTGAACGTATTCCTTTTAACGCTCAGTACAGCGGCATTGTATAAAACTCTTGAACGAAATGAGGTTACCGATCAGCCATTAACTGGAAAATGGTCTACTGATAGGGAGAAATCAAAGTAAGGTCGGTTAGGCCAAGTGTGTTCTGAAAGGCCGACTGGTTAGATGTCAGTCAGCCATTGCCAGGAAAGAAATGAGTTCGTGTTCTTGATTTCTACGTCCTTTGAGGCATCAGTTACGAAACTGAAATAGATATATTGGAGGAGGGATGGTGACCCCAGCCGTTCGACTTCCAGTGTAACTGCCCGGCAAGCAGGATCCTATCAGTGAATCCAGCCTATGCTCAAAAGCCGAGAAGCACTGTACAAATGCTTCTTTCGTGCTGGGAACCACCAACAGCATGCATCTCACGAAACTAGTAATTTTCACATCCGCGATTACCCGGCCACTGGTTAAACCTTTAACCTGTTAGGTATGAAAGGCTGGTCAGCCCTCACAGTGACACTTATCCTCCAGTTACATGTTAACTAGCTCCTCGACTGACATTTTTATACCCTTATTTGGTCTGACTGTTGACTCATATTATGAGTAACCTGTTTTAGCGTTTTTGGAAACCATTTTAGAGACAGAGACTATCCTCCTTTCAATACTGCCCCCCAGGGGAAATATAATATTCTAGAACTATAGAGTAGATGCATTCGGTTTTCCATACTTACTAGTTTCCTAGCCAAGAGGATCACCAGTGTTGTATGCCAGTGGTTCGTATTTACTGCATGATTGTCAGTTTAAACATTTGGTGTAGAAAACACTGAGTTCAGAAAGGCGGAAATAAACAGGATTTGATCTTCAATTCGTTCAAGAATACAGGAGGTATCTACTTTTATCTCCGTAGGTAAGCAAAGAAGTTGAAGCACAGAGCAAATTAATAGATGTCAGATCGTTCTTAACTTCGTTCCTGATAATTGCCATCTCATGATTTATATTTTTGGTTCTAATGGAGTGAATACTGGACGCCGGCTGTCAATCTGTGTTGTGGAATTCGATCAGATTCCACAAGTATGCCTTAGGTCGCAGAATAGTTTCTCATTCACGCTGTCTTCAAAATCGTCAGAAACAACTAAAGATTCATAGTTCTGGTGCAATCCATATAAATAGCCTTCAAAATGGGTACCCCCCTGCGTCAAAACTTTCTGGTACCCCGAGATGGTTCGTGACAGAAGAAATTCACTGTACCGATTAGGTGGTTCACCTGACGAAGGGAAAAACATATCTTGCGCGCATTGCAGTCGGGATAATCCATAATTCTACTCGACGCCCGCTTATTTACACTACTAAAGAGAGTCGCTTGTCACACGTAAACTTTGTAGTTTAATAGGAAATTTGCAGGAATATGAGTTTACTATGCCCCTATGGTTTTCACTTTCAAAATCCGCCTTGTGACAAAAGATGGAATTACTTTGGTGCATGTAATTTGCCACGACTCCCAGGCCTTACTCGATTCGGATCATGTCGGTTAGTCACATGATGCACAAACAAGAATGATGTTCATAGTCTTTTGGGTATACTTCTTAAAATGGAGAAATTTCATTGGAGACCACCTCTTCCTATCTTGTTGCCTTGTCTTGAATGATCTATCTGTGCTGTATTCTTCTTAATTGTCAGCTGTCTTTCTTCCATATCTGTTCGATTTATTCTTGGTTTTATTTAGTCAGTCCATGAAGCAAGTCCCTTTGGAATGCCCCCTTTGCATCAGATCCTTCGGTTTGCATATTTTTTTTCTGTGTAGTTCCGTTAATCAGTAGACATAACCCATCTGTTTGTGGGCAGGCGGCGTATTCTGGGGTTCCTAAAAGTCCAACAAACCATTCTATTCCATTCTATTCTATAAACCATTCTATTCTATATTTAGACCAGTCAGTCACGTGCAGGTTGATACTGTAATTACACTAGTGTTTGCATTTTGGCCGTAACCTGTGTTAGACAAAAAGCGATTGCCCAATGCAGGAGTCATGAGGTTTTCACCGAACACAAAATGTGATTCCACTAATTAGATTGCCCGCGGTAGCAATAAATTTGCATCGGCTGTTGGGAAATTTGCACCGAATTTCCGCTAAGCGTTACAGGGTACAATTTTTGTTCGTTGTACCATCAGACGAATAAAGAGAAGTTACTGGATCTCCATTCTGGTGCACAATGAAGGAGGAACTGGATAAAAAGCTTCACGTGGAAGATTAAAGGAAACCTTCATTGTTTTACTCAGCACACTGGCATCAGAAGAGGCTATATAAATCCTAGAATAGAAAATCCTGCATTCCGTTTGCTCTGCTTTTGATATCTGTGTGTTGTGCAAGCCTACACCCCCCACCATTGCTGTCAAGACTGCATCCACACTTTTTCGGGGTGAATATGTCCCCTAAAAGAAGCCTTCACGCCTCTCGCTAAATTATAAACATGGGAAGGCGTGCACACAATTTGGATCCGCAATTTGCACCAGCGAACGTCACGTTTGTTTGTATGCGAGTCTTGTGACACAGCATGCACTCTGGGACAGATGACTGACCGCCGATAGTCATCCACATGCACATTCGCAAGTGTATTCGACGTCACAGTGATGGAACCACGGGCGACATTACCGGAAGCGCATTATTAATGAGCTTCTCCTTTCCTACGCACGTCTACGTACACAGGCTGTAGTCTCGAGTGATTTTACCGTAGTTGCCGTCAGGAGAATAAATCCGGGAAAATGGAAACAAGTCCACGTCCATTCAGATTGTTTATCCGTGTGTTTTGTAACCACGGTGCAGTAAGCCCGTGCACAGTCACTGCAGCCGTCTGGACTTTAGTTTGGGAGAACGCGTTAGACATAATCCATAAACACGGTGCGGATCGATCGACACTGCCAGTGTAACCATTCACTGAACACAGCAGCACATCTTGTCGACTTGGTATGACAAACGTTTGCTAAATGTGGCCTTAATTCGTCAAAATGGTTGACGGCAAAGGATAACGGAGACCGTAAATTTATCTGTTTTCCACCTTTTCATTGACCTTGCGGAACCTACATTCACGTACCATTAAATCAAAATTAGCTTATAAAGGGCGTTGCACATTCACAAATTTTGAAATTTACTTTAATGTCTGATGACATTTAACACGTGATAAACATAAGTGAAATATTTGCATGAGGAGAGTACCTATGGGGATCTGTGATAATGCTTATTTACCTTTAAAGGCAAAAGCTTTGCATCACATAGTTCCATTTGGTATGCTTCATTGGACAAGAACTATTCGGGAATAACCAGACTAATCCGCAGAAAACATCTACGCTATTCAGCCTTTGTCTGAAACCTACCTACCAAGATACGTTTTCACCTCAAATTTTATGTCCACTGGGAAAGCTATCATGAATAAATAATCAGTATTTGTCTGAACCTTTTATGTCGCTTTGAAGAAAGCTGCAGTTCAATTAGCGGAGCATTCATACTGTTGGTGCTACGGACCCAGTGGTACTCGATTCCTCTGTGCGCAGTGATTATTCATGCTACTCTGACGAAAATCGATGTCGATAAATTAGATGACAGATACCCCCGATTCCGTATCATCGATCCTACCTCAAGCGAGTTTCCTGGATCAAATCTGAGCTGTTAACAGTATTCACTAAAGATCAACTTCACGGCTTCTTTAATTCTACGGGTTGTCAGTAATCACCCAGTAGCGCGGTCAAATACCGAAGTTTTGTTAATGATTGCAAAAACGCCTTCCAGCGGGCAGAGAACATATTCCACAGTGGAATTCGACAGAATGACTGAAGTTATTTAGCATAAATAGTTTTTGAACAGTTTGCCAATTCTATCAGAATATCCGTTATTTTCAGTTTGTCAGCCGTCACCGTCCTGTCACATTAGATCAACCAGAAACCCCTAAGTGAAATTTAGTACCATATTTCCACTCACCTTTTGGGTCAGAGACCAAACGCATTCAGAATACCTTCTGAGGAACTGCTATACAATCCCCAACATGTCTTTTGCTCCAAGCCCCCAACCTTTGAACAAGACATTGCTGCGTGCACGATTAATCCTCCAGGAGCCGGGGAATTGGCAGACTCGCCACTTTTGCCATCCATATTGCAAGGAGACAATGCATCATCTGCCATAATGTGTTGGTTGAAACGCGAAGTATTATCATCATTCTTGCTGTCATGAATAAACATCAACAACATGTCCTTGTTCTCCAAGATCTTTTGGCGACGTCACTCCCAGCAGCGAGACCAGCACTGGCATGACGCCAATTTTATTTACGATCTGTAAGGTCATATGGGCTGTCACAGTCGGATGGACCTAGTTTCAGTTCACTGGGAAATTTACAACATACACGCTGTGTAGACTGCTGGTATGAAGACACAACACGCAATTCAGTTTATTCTTCGCTGTTGGCCCAGTTCATCTTGGCGCCAACCTGAAAATAATGGGTATTCGTTTTGATTAGCATTTGGGCGCCATATGGTTACGGTCACTCACTGCGGGATGACAATCGACTGGAGAAAAACGGGTTGATTTTTTGTATCCGAGTTCCATCTTTCATACGTTTGCGCACTGAGCACAAAGTGAGAAAGCTAATTTTTCGGTTCCATCGCAATACAGCTAAAGAATTGATAGCACATTTTCTTCGACAAAAGGAGAGACCAAGTACTATCATTCCCATCATAGGTAAAAGGCAACTGGACGGTCGGCTATGGGGTATTTTATCAGCGACTATCAAGAACAGAACATTACTTGACAGTGAGCGTTCGCAAGGGCAAACGAGTCTCCTTCTGTCACCTCTTTGTCAGCTAGCCTGAATCGTTTGTGCACGAACTCCGATGATTCTACGGAAACAATAACTAATAGAAAAACTATTTGCTTATGTACCCACGTACACATTTGAAAAGCAAGGTATTGGTAACAGGGGGCTTACCTTAATTCCAGGTGAAACCGCCGCTTATGTTGACCTTGTGCTACACAAGTGCCAGCTTGGGATTCAGTTGAAATGACCCTTAGGATATCGAATTAATCTCACTTATGCACATAGGGTCAATGAAAACCCCTAAATAGCTTATTCCTGGTTACATTCGCAAGGTAGGCCCAGTCCACGAATCTCCACAAGCCTCATTTTATATTTGAACACGATCAACCATCTCATAATCGGTGTCATGCCAGGAATGTTGCCCCAACATCCTGGATGGCGTTCCAAATAAAATATGAGATGGCCATCGTGCATACAGGCATGAAAGAGTGATGTAGCTGCAATTAACTTGAGTCTTTCGCAGCGACTTCAGTTGCAAATGAGTGTCAATCTGCACATACGCAGAAACTAAGCAGAAACTATGATCGATAAAAAATCCAGCGACTGGGCCTACTTGATGTAGCCCGTCAGTGGCAAAAGTGGTAATCGGTTTTCTCGATGCACTACTAAACCAAGAAAGTTATTAGAACTGTGATTCTATTAGTTGCTGATCATTATACCGGTTTTATGTGAATTTGAATTTGTGATGATAACCATCGGCCATAAACGTAACTGGAAAAATAACTTTCAGTTTCGTGGACCAGGTTAACGTCATGAAATATTATTGAATGATAGTGGATGAGCTCCATACATCCTAATCTTGCGGGGAATGGTTTTTGCCTTCTGGCCAATTTTTCAGCATTTCTTCAATCTACGTCGCAGGCTTTCTAATGAGTCAAGCGATCAAGTTTCAATCATAGTGCCGCTTTGCGGAAGATGATCTTGATAACTGAGGGTGGTGGGAGGACGTAGTTATTTAGTAAGTAGGTTACATCCGAATTCACTTCAAAAAGATGAAGAACTTGTACGTCCTTGGTGAAGATTAATTAGGAGTTTTCCGTGAAAACTATGTTGGTCAAGATTTTCTTCGTTGTACAGTGCGTGACAGAAAAGTGCACTGCCAATTTTCTCTGCAATTTCTTTATTATCGAGGCCACTGGGATCACATTTAGCTGGCACGTAGTTAATTGAAACTTTCAGACTGATTTTAAAGGTGGAAAAGCTATGTGAACTTTGCAAAGTTAATTTTGCACAAAAGTCCCACGGAAGCAAAACTGTGTCATCATGAAGGTCAGCTTTTGTTTACCAATTCCGCACCGTCCACTGCTACACGGTCGGTGCTGGAAAGGCGATTAGTGAATATGCTGCAGTTTCGAAAGTTCACCGGGTGAAGAAAGCGGAAAATTCGCTCCTGATTCGGCTTGGTAAGTAACTGGGACATGCTAATGTTTGCGAGAAATACACAGAATCCGCTTAGGCACAATACTTTCTTCGTGAATTTGTTAGCACCCACAGTAACTTACGGAAGCACCTGAAGGAGTCTGTAATCTAAACTGTTGAATAGAGAACAAACGATGGCCAAAGTATGATGTTTTTCGGAGTAACGTCCTACGTTTTCTGTGCTTTGTGAATGAAACGCAAATAGCTTGGCGGCTCTCTGTCAAGAAACGCAGGATGGATTGCCGGTAGTTTATTTGACTTGCGCATCTCAGTCACTGAGTTTATTCACCTTTCCAGGTATGTAAGGCAAATTCGATCGAGAAATTGTTAACCGGGTTATGACGTGCATGCCTGTGTTTTGTGTGGGGGAAAATATTGGCAAAACGGAAAGCTATTCCTTCGTTCATCAGCATATAATGTTGGGATAAGCTGCCAGATTCAGCAGATAAATACATGGAGCTGAACCATGAAATCTTAAATGGCTCTCTATGGATACATTATAAATTTGGATGTTCCGATTAGCCGGGTTCCAGTTTGAATCTTTGGCAAGGTGTTTCCCTTAGGACAAAAACTTCATTACACGATTATTCTTGTATTAACGTTTTGCGCACTTATTTACGTTGTTTGGGAGTTTTCAACGATGCGTTGTGGAGACCCTATTCAGCAACCAACTTTTTCGCAGTTCCGCACAGTTTTTAATTAGACGATTGGAAGACCATAAGCGCACTTGCAACGAACATAATTCCTCACTTTGTACAGGGCTCTCGGGACGCACCATGGTGACAGGAATTCAGGTTGATTCCTGTCAGAATGATGTCTGTGATGAAACGGAACATACTTTGTATAACCCTGCTTTCTGCTAAAACATGAATCAAAAGTGGACCATTGGTTGACGTAGTACAGTTTTAAAGGTAAGCAAAGCGCAGCCGGCAACCAGAGCTCACTTGAAACGCAGACTCAACGATGTTTCACGGATGGCAATAAAATTTATTGCCAAAATGTTCTTCACCCTCAAGAACAGAGACAATACTGTATTCTGTATTGTGGGTTCCAGGAAATTCGCCTAAACGCAGATGCTCTTCCGCAAACGAGGGTTTTAATGTATGAAACTCCTTGGCACTGCATCAACAAAGATGTATTAGTTGCAAATAAATTTGGTTTTCACGACAGACTCAACTGAATCTCTCGTTTATGATATTCTACAACTGAATGTGCTGTGCAGTCCACCTCATGATTCAGTTGGCACGATATTCGAGATATCGCAGTATATTTTCATAAAGGAAACTACTCACAAGGTCGCTGAAAACTCTTCGACAGCCCACGACCGGTTTCGCCCTTCTTGGGGCTCATCAGGTAAGCGCAGTCCCCGAGTTTCCGTCAACCTTATGTTCTACTTGCACCCAAATTGGACTGTTTTCGAGAAATACACTCATTTGCAAATCTATTTGGTTTGCACGAGAGACTCAACTGAATCTCTCGTTTCCTTTACGAAGATATACTGCGATATCTCGAATATCGTGCCAACTGAATCATGAGGCGGGATTACTTTTGGCTTTCCAACTTCATTTGTAGAAGATAACTTCAGATACCTCAAAATCCAATCGTCACCTACAATCTTGGATACAGAAAGTAAGTTATGACGGCTATATATTTTTATCACCTCTAAACGAAATAGATCGACCCATAGTAGGGTTGAAAAGGGCAGTTGGAATCTTGACCATTGGTCAAATGAATAGTACTATTTGCCCATAAAATGTTTTCACAATGCTTGTGCTTGACGACCAAATTGCGATAGCTTCACATCGAACAATGGAAGCTGGCTTCTCTGGTAGCGGACTCGCTGAGGAAGGTCCAAGACAAGTGTGGCATATTTTAAGCATGTAAGCCTCTTGCTTCTTTGAGTGAGTGTATGCAAAAGAGGCTATCCTAGGAGCCAAGTGAAATTTAAACGGCCATAAAACTTCTATCCACCACAAATCGCCCACGCGTATTATTTTCTTTTTTCTCCATTTAGTGCACAAAACCTGGGCATAAGTCAGCTAGTTGCTGGGCGGGGCGACAGCCATTGCAACGTTCAAAATAACCGTCAGCATGTAAGAGTAAGGCACGAAAAAATCTGCTGACAAAGTGAAAGATGGTCTTTGGCCCGGAGACATGGGGTTCTATTCGGCCTTAGGGTGTATACGGTGTGCTTCCGAACTTAAAGAATATATCCCTAGTGGACGATTGCTCCATAGCCTTCAAGAGGTAAAACAGTCACTCGGCGACTGTTCGCAGTGTAAAGCGCATTCCATGATGTAATCTGAATGTCTCAGCTGGATGGCTTAGGCTCGCCAGACTCCTCGGAATAGCAAACCTGTTCCAAAGTGATTGGTTGTGGCTTACGTTCACGAACGAACTCTATGATGGCATTCCCCCACAATCTTTGGAATGATACTTGTGTGGAAGTGCAGACCATAACGAGAAACCTAAAATACGTGGTCACACTTTTTCACCACATAAAGGTCGTGCGAGATTTGGAGTGATGTCAGTTTTCAGTACCACAAAGCGTTATGTTACATATTAACTACCGCAAATCTCACCGAGACTGGGTTATACTCATCATACGTCGTTCACTGACATGCCGAAGATGTATTTAGCCTCCGAGGATGAACGTTTGCCCAATCCGCACAAATTTTCATTATTTATTTGTGACAGCCCCATAAAGATAACCTAAGTCAAACGGTATAAAGCTTCACTTTACGTGACCCAAAAGAGGGGAAATTAGTGGTAACTTTCTTAACATGGAAGTAAAGACAAGACCGAAAGTTAGATGACAAACGACAAGGCAAAAACCAGCTCATCATATAACCGTCTGTAAAACTAGCATAGCAGGCAACATTATGACAACGT